TGTCCTCATGTCTGTGGTTGCCATGCTTTTAAAACAGTTGAGGTTTGAAATGGTCCTGTGTGGAGCCGGACTAGGTGACATGACGGAGCTGCAGGAAAAAGAACCACAGAGACACTGAAATGAGGATTTGTACTGATGCTAGTATCAGATAAATAAGATCATGAAGAGCTGCTCGACACACTGACAACCTGAGAGGAGGACACACAGTGATTCTCCTGTTCCTCTGTACGTGTGTGTGTGTGTTCTTTGATGAGCCCTGCAGCCTGTAATGACCTCAGCTAATGAACATACTTTTAAGATGCTAATGAAGGACACACACACACACACACACACACAGTCTGTCAGTAGGTTAATGATGTCATCAATCAGACAGGTCGAATAGGGGACACTAAAACACACAAACTAAGATGCGTGTGTGTGTCGTCCCCTGGTGATACTCAGCTGTGAATCAACTGTTTAACTTTCATTCTCGTTGACAATTCAAACATGTCTGACATCCTGATCAAAGATTTAAAAACAACAACAACTTAACAACAACTATAATGACACAAAGATACTAACGAGTAAATCAGCTGATCTTCAGTCTGTCTATCTCCTTGGGTCAAAGGTCAGGATAACAGGACCCCCCCCCCCGCAGTTTAAGACATCTCTAAGGCGGCGTCTGAAAACATCAAAGACTCATTATGAAGAGAACAAAGTCAACAACATGTTTCATTGTTTCTGATTTCAGTTAATTTTATGATTGACAGGATCGAAGGAATGAGGCGATAATATAACAATGTTTGACTTTTATCAAAATATATATATAGACTCTGGTGTCAACAGGAGGGAGGGGCTTATTCGACTTTTGCGTGTGGTGGGAGGGGCTTGCTTAACCTCTGCGTGTGGTGGGAGGGGCTTGCTTAACCTATGAGTGTGGAATGGGAAGAGCTTATTAATCCCTCCAACATTGAGTCTGCACTGATGCTGACTTACTGAACAGGTGTTGTGTTGTTGTCATGGAGATGCTTTGTTCATTACATTTTTGTGTCACCACAGACTGTAAATATGAATATGCTGTCTTAGTCTAACTTTCAGTCAGCCTAACGACAGGCTGAGAGCTGGTGCTGAGGCAGGTTTTAAGCCTCCTGACAAACCGTTACACCGTGCCCACCTGTCAGTCAGGTCAGCTACACGCCTAACTACGGATAACACGTATTGTTTTCAAAATCAATACGCAGCCATTTAAAAAAAGAATTCACCCCCGTACAGTGTGTGCCAGTGATGCCAATAAGTAATCAGACCTATTTGTTTTTTTGTTGCAGGCTGTAAACATGTTTATTTCTGCTGTAAAAACTGCTTTTTTCCAGTCATGTGTATGTGACTTCCTGTGTTCCAGGAGCCAGCCTCAAGCAGACACTTGACAGATTTTGCACTTCAGCATTGGCTTCATTTTTCAAGACCGGAAGTTGCCGCTTGGTTATCACCCGCACATACGCAAACGCCTTTAAATGAAATCAGAACAACATTAGCAGCTCGACATGTCAGTGGCCGTCACATGGTCACATGGTCACATGGGTTTATGGTCACACAGTCACATGGTCACAGGAGGATTCTGACTTCACTTCAGGACAGGTGAAACCAACGTCCATATGAACAAACAGCCTGAATAATAAACACCTTCTGAGGGGGAGCTGCTTCTCCTTCACCTCCTCCTTTAGCCCCTGCTTCTCCTTTAGCCTCTCCCCCTCTAAGCAGTACTCTTTTTAAACCAGTCATCTTAGCTGGTTTTAAAGAATCTGATCTACGTGGTCTCAGAGGCTCTGAACTGGATCTGAGCACAGGGGGGTTTATCTTCCCCCCGCCTCTCTCCTCTCCTCTCCCTCCTTCTCCCTGTCTCCCTCCTCTTTCTTCCTCTCACCTCACCCTCCTCCTGGTTGCTGCAGGTTTCTGTGGTCTGAGTGGAAACCAGGTCTGTGGTTTGTGTTCAAGTCTGACTCGTCCAGATCAGTGTCAGGTCATCAACGTTAACCACCTTGTTTTAGCATGTTAGCATGACTTACTATCGGCTCATGTTGATACCACCCAGTGTTGAGTATCAGTCAAAAAAGAACCTTTTTTACTGCCGTCGTCATGGAGACACGTGTGTGTGTATGTGTTTTATTTTCTCTGTGTACCTTCAGCTGTGTTATGTTCACATCCAGAAGGAATAAGAAGAGTTGCACGTGGGCGGCAGCGTGGGCGAGTGTGTGTAGCCTGCAGTCAGTCTGTGTGTGTGTGTGGCATATCTGTCTGCATTGATTCCTCTGAGACATACAGATAATGAACTGTGTTTTTTTACATTATAGATACAACTACATTAGAACGGATTTAGTTTCACTAACTGACTTTAATAAACCAAACATTAAAGCAGTGTTTCTCAACTTGTCGAGCTTCAGGACCCACCAACTACTCCTTCATGAAAAATTGTGACCGAAATTCCTTATATTTTTCAATCAATTTGATTTATGTAAAGGAAAATTTTGTAGTTTGGACTTCAGACGGTACAAAGTATGACAGAACAAAGAAACTGAATGAAACAAATGTGTTAAAGAAAGAGTTTTTACAGCATCTTTCTTCCAGACACACATTCGCGACCCACTGAAACCGACCTGCGACCCACTTTTTGGGTGCCGACCCGCCTGTTGAGAACCACTGCATTAAACAATCCTCAATTATAATGTCACACATAATAATTGACTTTCCTCTGAAGGACTACAGGGACTAACACACTTGAGCTTTATTTTCCACTGACCCTGACACACACACACACACACACACACACACACACAGCTGCAGCTGAGTGTGAAAGGCAGCAGGGAGGTACTGAATCTGAGGGTGATGAAGGAGAGAGCAAATGGCTGCAGAAAGTGTATGTTTATAAGTGTGTGTGTGTGTGTGTGTGTGTGTGTTCTAAGGGCACTCTCAAGGTTTCGCTCTTTCCTGTGTGTAACACTGCAGTGATTTATTTCTCTGCTCCCCCTGAGCTGACAGCCTGATCCAGTGTGTGTGTGTGTGTGTGTGTGTGTGTGTGTGTGTGTGTGTGTGTGTGTGTGTGTGTGTGTGTGTGTGTGTGTGTGTGTGTGTGTGTGTGTGTGTGTGTGTGTGTGTGTGTGTGTGTGTGTGCGTGCGTGCGTGTGTGTGTCCCAGCAGAGCCAGTCTGTCGTCCTCCTGCAGCCAAACCTGCAGCTCGGATGGAAAAACTGAAAAAGGAGGAATAATACTTGAGCTGCGTTCAGGCTCTTCAGGAAAACAGAGCACTGACTGTAGCCTTCACTGTCCTGAAAGAAGCAGCTAAAGATAAATAAAAACATGTGTGGACTGAAGACAGAGCACACTGTGTGAATACATGCCCTGTTCTCTACCACCAGACTCCTGCGGCCTCTGCTGTGTTCACTGCTCACTGTGTGTTTGTGTGTGTGCGTGCGTGTGTGTTATCTCAGTTGTTATCAGGAGATCTTTGAGTTGTCAACTCTCATAACATTAAAGATCAGAGACGTACTGAATGGCATAGGACTTGCAAATGTTGTTCGTCTAGTTCACTGCACAAATCCTATGACACAAACACACACACAAAGTCAGCAGCTCCTGCAGACAGCTCATCCATCAGCGTGCTGTAGTCACTTTATTTTCATTAAACATAAACAGGAGGACAGCGTGCTGAGTCTGCAGACAGGACACGATGCAGGCAAAGCATTCTGGACAGGACAGGTTCTGTTCAAAACCGGGACATGTGAGGGTTTATAGATATTTGTGGGGACACGGACAGTTCTGCTCTAATCGCGACGTATGGTCATCCTACATTAAGCCCTTACATGTGGTTGGAGGGAGGGGGGGAGGGGGGTAACTGTAGTCAAACTGGGACAAAAAACCTGGTAAAATTAGGATTTGAGGTCAGAGGAAACAGAAGAAGGCAGAACAATGAAGTGTTCAAGTCCACGTTTAATGAAGCGTAAAAAGGTTAAGCACCAGCATAAAGTTGTATTCACACACACACACTCTCTCTCTCTCAGTAACAGTCGAGTACAGATCAGATCATTTACAGGGAGAAGAACAAACCTCAGAGCACGTTTGACGGTTTCAGGAGAGAAAGTGAAAATAACTGAACAGAGAAATGAAATGACGGCTGAACACTCTGTTTAAAGATGAACTAGAGTTATTTATGTCGGATTTATTTCTGACTTATCTCTAAATTTATATTTGACTCTGATTTATATCTGGATCATTTCAAAACAGACTGCAGAATTTCTCATGTTCAGCCTCTCAGAGAAAAACACGTCTGCAGCCTGAAACAGTTAAAGGGATACTTCACCCGTTGAAACATGAATCTGTATTGACATTGGGTCATACATGTAGTAGAAATGTGAAATTAATTTTGAGGTAAAGCTGATTCAGAGATTTCTTCCAGGAGGAATTGGTATCTTGGAAATTCCTGGCAGAACACAGACTCTATGTCTGTGTCCATAGGCAAACAGTGAGAGCACCGACACTACAAGTCCGCCCCAGCTCGAGCCGGCCCGGGCTCCTCGTCCTCACCGCCGCCGCGGCCAGCAATATAGCAATATAGCCACGAGACGGTTGGTGCAGACAGGCCGGTCTTGTGTCCCGGTGAGTGGCGTTAGCGGCGGACAGTGGCGGCCCCGGCAGGCAGCGGACGCAGCAGCCAAAACACAAGACCGGCCTTTCGGCAGCAGCCGTCTCGCCGCTACATTCATATTTTGCCATTATCAGCTTTCTCCAAAGAGCCTGTTAGCATAGCTTCCAAGCAATATGGTGGACGTTAAGTTTCGATTCTGGGAGTGAGTTCCCACCCACTGATCTGTGATTGGTCTGTAGCTTCAGTGGTCGAAAATATGAGGAACTAGCATTGTACATTCACCCCGCTAACCGCACTCATTTTGCGTCACTGGAAGCTCCTTTTCAGACTTAGAAATACAAAGATTTCCCATCTGAGGGGAAAATGAGGGAGGGATGCACGACCATTCAAAAATACTACCAGGTTTCTAATGATACAAAGCTTAATGCCAATTGATGAAGTATCCCTTTAAAATGTTCAACTGCTGTTTAATTAGGTCTTTGTGTTCATTGCTCTGAAAATCATATCATCTCTATCAGGAGGAGATTAGCTTAGCTTAGCAAAGAGACAGGAAGCAGCGCTTAAAACCTGAAAGTTTAAGTAATTTGATTACTAACAGGAAGAGAAGCTAGGCTTGGCTAGGATAACATTTAATACACTTATTATAGAGATATTTTAACATATTGCAGTGATTTAGCATAGTGGCAACAGAGCTAACATGCTAGCCTGCTAATTCAACACACACTCTTACTCTTCCTTTATAAACATCTTTAATAAACACACATGTTGAAAACATTAAGTGTTAGCTAAGTCCTAGTTGAAGAACACTGGGCTAACACTTTCCATGCACTTCAGTAACATTCCTACATTCTAGCTGTACCAACCTTACCATACTTACTTATGCTATATGCTAACTGCTTTAGCAACCATAACACAGTCCATGTAGCCTGCATGCAAACACCCAACACAACCCTCATGTTACACTGAATGGGCTAGCCGTTCTGTAGCTATAGGGGCTAACTGTTTCCTGCTTCCAGTCTTTGTGCTAAGCTAAGCTAGTCACATGTTTGTAACAGATGGACAAACATTTGAGTTTCATTTAAAAAAATTGATCCTCTGAAGTGTGAAGATTCTTTTAGACTCTGGTAGAGATTTTTAAAGTACGATAGTACGGTTTGTTGGTTTGTTACCATGGCAACAGAAAATATGTCCTAGACACCCATTATTTGGTCATTCATTCATTTTAATGATCTCCTGATAAACTCCTGGACACGTGTGATGGATTGGTTCCTCTCCGACACTCTGATGAAACACATGGTTATTTCAAACTTCAGTACTTTTTATTTCAACAAACCATGGAGTTCTCCTAAAATAAACAGGGTAAATATAAACCTGGTTTCCACTCATATCTAAAAGCTGTATTAACATGTTGTTATGGCAACAGTGGTGACAGTCATAATAAAGACACATCAGGCTGAGAGTATAAACATTATAAAAAGTGCAGCCTTGACCGGCTGTCAGTCAGTACCTTGTGTAGCATCCTATATGTACCAAGCAAATATATATTAGGTTTAAATAGCTTTCATCAAACCGAGCCAACTCATTCAGCCCGACGTAACGAAGAGAAGCGTGTACAGACATGTGGCGTGCGCTACAACCAAACATCATGTAATCATAAATACTAAAGAAGACTACGTACATAAACAGACTTAAAGGCTTCAACTGCCCGTCCTGTCTGCTGAGCGTGCGTCTCAAAGTGCAGGAAATAAAGAGACGGCCTGAACCCTCCACCCCAACAGCAACACCTGAAGAACCATCCAGAAGACCTGAACCCCGACAGCAACACCTGAAGAACCATCCAGGAGACCTGAACCCTCAACCCCGACAGCAACACCAGCAGAACCATCCAGAAGGCCTGAACCCTCAACCCCAACACTGAAGAACCATCCAGAAGACCTGAACCCTCGACACCTGAAGAACCATCCAGAAGACCTGAACCCTCGACCCCAACACCTGAAGAACCATCCAGAAGACCTGAACCCTCGACCCCAACACCTGAAGAACCATCCAGAAGACCTGAACCCTCGACCCCAACAGCAACACCTGAAGAACCATCCAGAAGACCTGAACCCTCGACCCCAACAGCAACACCTGAAGAACCATCCATTAGACCTGAACCCTCGACCCCAACAGCAACACCTGAAGAACCATCCATTAGACCTGAACCCTCAACCCCAACACCTGAAGAACCATCCAGAAGACATGCTCAAGAACCTTCTGAAGATGACGTCTTTAACATGTGAGGAACCATCTGAAGAACTTTGTGAAGGACCCAACCAAAGACCAGAGGACTCAGTTCAACAGAGACCAGAAGACTAAGTTCAACAGGGACCAGTTGACTCAGTTCAACAGAGACCAGAAGACTCAGAAGCAGACAGAGTCCTGATCTCTGATCTCAGTTAAAACTTTCTGATGCACTGGTTGGCCAATTAAAGACAGAGTGAGGTGAAGGAGGCCAATCTGATGGGCTGAACAAACTCTGTACAAACCTTCATCTTTACAAAATTTACCTGCTGCATTCATGGATGCATCCATCCTGGCTGCTTGTTAGAAACTTTCATTTACATTAATATTACTTTTTAAAGTCACACTTGTTCAGTGTTTTTCAGCTGTGAGTGTTTGTTTGATATCAGGAGCTGAGTTCAGTAAGAATATGACAGGGTCTATAAGAGTCCAGTGCTGAGGTACCTGATCTTCAGGTTCAAGTGAGGAGGACAGGGTGTGAGGGGGACAGGGTGTGAGGGGGACAGGATGTGAGGAGGACAGGGTGTGAGGAGGAGGGCTCTAGCAGGGCTCTAATCCTGTGCCAGTTAGGAGGCGGGGCTCTGATTATTTTTGACAAGTGGGGGGAAGAGCTCTGGTTCTGCGGGACAGGTAGGGGGCAGGGCTCTGATTATACATGACGAGTAGGGGGCAGGGCTCTGGCCCTGTGACAGGTAGAGCAGGGCTATGATCCTGTGCGGTAGGTAAGGGGCCTGGTGCTCTGGTCCTGTGTGGCATGAAGGGGGCAGGGCTTTTATTCTGTGTGGTAGGTAGGGGACAGGGCTTCCTGCTGACTCACACCGTGGTCATGAGTTTGAGAGAACCTGACCTGAACCGGAGGATCTTCTTCTTCAGGGTTTGGGATGCCTTTATTTTGACAAAGGCCTTTGTATGAGCTGACCTCATGTCCTTTCCTGTCGCCCTGGCTTCTGTTTCCTCTAACTGGCTCCACCCCCTCCCCAGACCACCTGTGCCACCCCCTGCCCCACCTCCCCCACTCTCCTCTGTATCACTGGCGGTGGTGCTCTCCTCCACATACTCGTCGTCGCTGGACTCGCTGTCTCCGAAGCGGTTGGCAGTGTAGTTGGACCTCTCATCCTCACTGGTGTCCACGATGGTGGAGTGAAAGAGCGATGCACACTCGGCTGAGTACTCAGAGTCACTTCCTGCTGTATAGGCATACGGGCTGCTCAAAGCCCCATCAGAGGGGAGGAATCGGCATGCGGCACAACGACTCAGCAGCTCCTTTCTCTTACGTCGCTGAGCGCGTCTGAATGCTTCATCGTAAGGCAACGTACGTTTGTACTTTGGTTTGGCAACTATTGCAACCTGGTCACGTCCGTGGTGGTGACCATGATGGTGGTGACCATGATGGTGACGGTTACTTCCATGGTGATGGTTTCCGTGGTGATAGTGCCTGGATGAACCTGAACGCACACTGCTCAGTGTGGATGTGGTTTGTTGGTCAAGGACTCGGCCCTCTGGGATGGACGCAGGGAGGCGTTTGACTCTAGAGGAGGATGTCCTATTGGTGCACCCTGTTGCTCTCCTGGAGGTTCTGATGTGGGTTGGGCCTCCGTCCTCCAGCAGACGGGACTTTTTAGAGCTAGACCTGTAGTGGTACCTGTCCCCTCGTCTTTCGCTGTGTTCAGTGGTCTGACTCGTCTTCAGGGTGGCACTCTTCACTCTGACTGTCCTTATATCGCTGTCTCCTCCCTGACACAGTTTGATGTCCTGCTGCTGGGTTGGGGGGGACCTGCTCTCAACCACACGACTCCGTCCTCCTGCTTCATCCAGACTGTGAGACGAAACACCTACACCTGTTTTATTAGTCACTGACATCTCAGTGCTCTCAGTGTGACCTGTTGGCACAAGTGTAGGACTGTTCTTGGGCGTAGCTGACTTTTTTCTGATGGTTGAAGGTGATTTGAAGAGCAGCTCCTGGTCAGGAGGGAAATATGGTGGCTTCTTGGGGGAGGAGTTAGCTTTGGGACAGCCCAAATCTCTGACATCTTTGGGCAGAGTAGCTGTGGACGCTGCTGATGGAGGAGGATATTTCCTGTTCTCTCTCAGTCTGAGTAGACTGTTGGTGCTTGAGTTAACATCGGGCTCTGGGACAGAACAGACTGGGTGGATGTTGTTACTCAGAGGAGAAAAGTCACTATGGGGAAACTTGAAGACATTGTGCATCATGTTTCCGTCTGGGTAAAAAGTCTCCTGCTCACCTTTACTTTCAGTGAACCACTGCCTCTGAGAAGACGAGGAGAAGGCTCCGTCTGCTCCTCCTGCAGACCATGGGGGTCTGTGTTCAGAACCCCTCAGAGTCCCAGTACCACCCCCTGAGCAGGGAGCAGAGAGCTGCCTCCCACAGAGACCAACCGGCCTCAACACGCTCTTTGATGGCTCTGTGCTGATACTGGTCCTGGGTCTGTTGGTCCTGACTGGCAGGGCCCTCCTCTGCAGCAGACTGAAGATGTAGCCGTCCAGTCGCTTCTGTGACAGCGTTAGAGAAGAAGAAGAGGGGGCGGGCCAGGAGGAGCTCTGAGGGACAGACGAAGCGGAAACAGGATCAGACTGAAGGACACAGTCTGCTTTAAGTCCTTCTACAGAACTCTTCAGAGCTCCTTCTTCTATGCCGAGACCGCCATGGCACAACTTCTGCAGGAAGACCGGGCTCTGCACCGCCACAGCGTGCAGCGGGCTCGGGTAGCGGTACACTTCACAGCCGTTCCTGGCCACCAGGTCACAGTGGTACTTAGACTGAGAGTCACAGGAAGAGACAGAAGAGATGGAGTCCACAGTGGGGGGGTGAGGAGCAGAGAGTGAACGGCGGACTGTACCACAGATAGACGAGTCATCACAAAGTCCTCCAACCAGACCATCACAGTCCAAACAGCTGACCAGCTCGTCTGAAGGATAAAGAGAGAGAGAGATTTATTTATTTGCACAGTAACATATTAAACAAATAACAAAATCGACAAGATTCAGTGCAGAAAACTCAAAGAGCTCATTTGAAGCCTCCACCTACACAATGCTAAAATATCATCAAATTAAAAAACAACTAAACAATTAAGATGCAGAAAAGAACGTGTTCACAGATATGTAGAGAAAATGTATTAACTGCATACAATGACAAACACAAGCAGAAAACCAAAACGTATGAGTCATTCTGATGAACCATGTATACATGGATAATGAGTCGTTAAGGACGAGCAGTTCAATGTTTGTTTTTTGTCACATTTCACTGAGCAGCAGGTTTTTGAAAGATGGAATACATATTCTATAATCTGCTGCTTCTGAAAGGAATGGAGAGTCGACTTCTGCTTGTCAAACATTACAACATGAAGATCTGAAGCTGGACGGTTGAGCACCAATGGAGTAAGAATAAAGTAACTCTTGAAGTGCTCAGAGATATTCCCTTCACTCCATGTTTTATCAGTAAAAACACATATTTATGAAAGATCGATGTTATACATATTCAGAATCTGGAGCTTCTCAAACAAAGGAGCAGAAGAAGAACCAGACTCTGATCGCCATCCTGACAAATCCTTTCTGGACGATAAGATCAGGATAAATATAACTATAACTATATATAAAGAGTAAGGAGACGAGATGACTGACACTTCCAATAATACCAAATATTTGTTTATTTTCTGCTAACAGTCGATCTGTTCTCTCCAACTCTAATTCTCATCAAAGTCCCAGAAATCTCCTAGTTGATACCTGGGGCATCTCAACATAATCGATTGTCATTTTGGACAAATCCTTAATATAATATACTTTTTTTTATATTCAAGGATAATTTATTTAATTGAAACCATTTCAAAAATAATCAGTTTAACCAATATTAGCATCCCTCATCAAAGAATCCAAATTAGAATGAGAAAACGAGGGTTGTGTCATCTGCAAACATTATTGGAGAACGAACATGTGAAACATGATACAAATATAGTATAATATATAATATTAAATATAATATGGGCGGCTGTGGCTAAGTTGGTAGAGTCGTCACCTCTCAACCGGGAGGTCAAGGGTTCAATCCCCAGCTGGCCAACGTGTCCGATGTGTCCTTGGGCAAGACACTTAACCCTGCATTGCTCCCACTGCTTCGGTGCATTGGTGTTGTACTGACTCTCTGATTTACGTCGCTTTGGATAAAAGCGTCTGCTAAGTGAATTGTAACATTGTAACAAATATATGTAGATAAGAAATAATAACGACCCCTGTGGAACCCTGCAGTGCCGCCTGGCTTTGTCGGAGTAGCGATCCTTGACAGAAACAATTGAAAAGATCATGGTTTACCCAATGATTTCTCCTGAAACCATATCAATGTTTATAACGAATAGAGTTTGAATTACGGTGAAAGAGAATCCTTTTCTAGTATTTTTGAAAACAGGGCAAGATAGAGATAGGTCTCTAACTATTAAAAGAGCTGGGATCACCTGCTTTAAACATTGGAATCACTTTAGTAACTCGGAAGTCCTCTGGAACAATCCCTGTCGTCAGAGACAAAAAAAGAATGTTTGACAAGAAGGCAGAAATATGTCATGAGCAGATGAAGATGTTTTTATCTCATCCATCGGGTGGCTTAAAGAAAGTTATACTAGGAAAGGTTCTGCTGCCAACAGATCCAGCTGCAGACTCTCACAGATGGTATTTGAATGATTCAGTGTGACCGTGCTGGTTCACAGAAAGTCAGTGATGGGAGTGGATTCAGTCCTGATGAGGCTCAGCTGAGTGCTGCCATGATTCTGTGTGGATCGGCTGATGGAGAGCACGAGCATTACTAAGTGGAAAATTCTTTGGTGTGGAGACAGAGGGCTGAGAAAAGTTAACTCTTTGTGCTCTGCTCCAGGCCTGATGTGAAGGGAACATGATGAATATGTCAGAGAGCTGACGGACTACAGACACTACTTACTCCTAGGAGACAGAAGTTAGCATCCCTGTTAGCCTCTAAGGACCTGAAGCTGTGTCAGCAGGGCACAGCGGTGACCCCTCCCACACAGATACTCAGACGTGTTTGTGGGAAAGTCTGATGTGTGACTGATAAGATTAATGCTCTTATTCGTTCCACCTGAGTTTGTTTTACACGTCAGAGGAGACGCTTCATTTACGGATCTCATGATTTGATCTGCTGAATAAACTGAGACACAGAACCATGTTTGTTCAGTCTGCTCCATCAGGAGAGACACACCTCAGTTTTCACAACCACCAAGAGCCGAAGCACACAAGAACCCGCCCCACAGTCAACAGCTTGATTACTGATTCAACACAAGATGAAATACTTTAAAGAACAGGTCGGCTCTCCAGTCACACCTCGCTGCTGAGATATATACTGATGTTTATAAAGGGACGAGAGAGCCATCAGAAGAAATGTCAAATTTAACATCCCAATTCAAATCTGGCTCAAAATGTTCCAATTTGAGTTAGAACCAATTATTCTGTATGGCAGCAAAATCTGGGGACCAAAATTCAATCAGGACTTTGACAAATGGGACAAAATAATAATGGAAACATTTCATACCGAGTTCTGTAAGAACCTCTTACCTGTTCAAAGACCCCAAACAACGCATGAAGAGCAGAACTCAATAGCCCCTCCTCCTCAAAATAAGATTAAGATTTACTTTATTGATCCCCGCAAGGGGAAATTTCTGTTTTTACTGGTTCTGTGTCTCAGTTTATTGGAGGGGATTTGGTGCCTTGCTCAGGGGCACCTCAGCAGTGCTCAGAAGCTACCAGACAAACTTTCATATTTGGTCCGCACCAGGACTTGAACCGGCGACCCACTGGTTCCCAACCCAAGTCCCTACAGACTGAGCTACTGCCGCTGAGATGGTGAGTATTAGTTGTGTAGTAGTTGTGTGTGTTTGTTGTGTATTAGTTGTGTGTATTAGTTGTGTGTGTTTGTTGTGTGTTTGTTGTGTATTAGTTGTGTGTGTTTGGTGTGTGTTTGTTGTGTATTAGTTGTGTGAGTTTGATGTGTGTTTGTTGTGTATTAGTTGTGTATTAGTTGAGTGTGTTTGATGTGTGTTTGTTGTGTATTAGTTGTGTGTGTTTGTTGTGTATTAGTTGTGAGTGTTTGTTGTGTATTAGTTGTGTGTGTTTGTTGTGTATTAGTTGTGTGTGTTTGTTGTGTATTAGTATGGACTTTGTTTACCTGTAGATGGGAGTCGTCCGTCAGCGTCGGCTGTCGAACAGAAACACTCACTGAAGACCGAGTTAGACGAGTTGGAGAGCGAGCCAGACGCCGCATCACTGAGCTCATAGAAACCTGGGGTGGGGGCAGAGATGAAATGGTTAAAAAAAACAGCTGAGTCATGTTTAGCTTGTGTTCATGGATGGTTCCTCAGAAATATTCGTCAACGATTCAGTTTTTTCCCGACACATTTTCATATAACAGACATACTAGCTCAGTTAGAGCCGCACATGGTCCAAGTAAGCCCCTCCCTCCTCTTAAGCTCCTCCCTCTTCTACACATTTTGCCAATGTTTTAGTGCAGTTAAGACAATGCTCTGAGTCTGTTTGGTTCACCAGTAAACCCAGTGTGTTTCCTCCTCATACCTGAACTGGGTCTGCTGTCGGTCTCCGGCGGGTCATGTGGCGGCTCGGTGTCTAGGCGCAGGTCACTGATCTGTCGGTCGAGCTCCTGAAGCTGACTGATGAGTCCGGTGTCTCTCCTCCGCAGGCAGTTCTAAACACACACACACACACACATTAGTCCATTGTAGTTTTCTATTGTCATGTCTCAGTATGCGCGCTCTGAGGGAGGATCCAGAAGCGTATGATCATACTCCTCAACAGTAGGTGGCTAGGTGGCCTATCTAATAGTTACTATTCAGTGTTTCCCCTACCTAAAAACACTGAATAGTACCTACCTACTACCTACCTCTAAACCTAGGGGAAACACTGCTATTGGACCTTCTTCCTGTCGACCTGTCAATGACAAACGAGTCAGCACGCAGAAAAGCGTGTTCAATGATGAAAACATGGACGACTATCATGCTCTGAACATTTCAGCTGACTCAGCATGCCCTGAGTCAGAACTGTAGAGCATGCTCAGTCCTAGTCCAGTCTGGGTTCCATTAAGGTGTAAACATGTGAAAGCACATCAACCCCTGATGACATTATCTACGACAAGTGAGCTGGTCAGACTCTGAGAAACTCAGGTCTATGTGATCCAGGTCTATGTGATTCGGGTCTATGTGATTCGGGTCTATATGATCCAGGTCTATGTGATTCAGGTCTATGTGATCCATGTTTATGTGATTCAGGTCTATGTGATTCGGGTCTATGTGATTCAGGTCTATATGATCCAGGTCTATGTGATTCAGGTCTATGTGATCCATGTTTATGTGATTCAGGTCTATGTGATTCAGGTCTATATGATTCAGGTCTATGTGATCCATGTTTATGTGATCCATGTTTATGTGATTCAGGTCTATGTGATTCAGGTCTATGTGATTCAGGTCTAAGTGATCCAGGTCTATGTGATTCGGGTCTATGTGATCCAGGTCTATGTGATTCAGGTCTATGTGATCCATGTTTATGTGATTCAGGTCTATGTGATCCAGGTCTATGTGATCCATGTTTATGTGATTCAGGTCTATGTGATTCAGGTCTATATGATTCAGGTCTATGTGATCCATGTTTATGTGATCCATGTTTATGTGATTCAGGTCTATGTGATCCAGTGCTGGTCAGGTCATGTGACCTGTCAGAGTCTGATAGGGATCTGCAGCTTCAGGCTCACAGACAGATAAGATCAGCTGTTTACATACCTGCTGATTATCACCTGGTTCTACACACACACACACACACACACACACACACACACACACACACACACACACACACACACACACACACACACACACACACACACACACACACACACACACACACACACACACACACACACACACACACACACACACACACACACACACACACACACACACACACACACACACACACACACACACACAGAGCAGAGATAGAAACATGCGGGTTATGCAGCTCTCAGGTCATGTGCTGCATTCCTCTGACTGAGCTGCAGAAACAAGCTTCTGATACTGAACCAGACCATAGCTCCCACTGCACACCAGTCATACAAACCAGTTATATGAACCAGTTGTGTGTGTTTGTGCACGTGTGTGTGTGTGTGTGTGTATGTGTGTGTGTGTGTGTGTGTGTGTGTGTGTGTGTGTGTGTACGTGCATGTGTGTATGTGTGTTTGTGCGTGTGTGTGTGTGTGTGTGTATGTGTGTGTGTGCGCGCGTGCGTACAGCTGCTCTCTGGTATGAGCGGCGTGTTCAAACACACACTGACGCTCCTCCAGCTGTTCGTCCTGTCAATCAACCTGCTGACAGCTGAGACTCAACCGGAAGTGATGTCACTCTCACACTTCCTTCATTACTTTATCCCAAACCATGAACGAGGTCTGGAGTCAGTGGTCATCAGAACTACGAGCGTGACACTTCCTGTCATGCAGCGTGGCCCACGCCATCATCAGAAGAGATCTTTTGTGATTGGTTAAACAGAATTCTGGTCATGGTGAGAAAGTAACCGTAACGCTCAGATTCAACATCAACATGTTAGAGACCCTGACCCTGGTCCTGGTCCTGGTAAAACTCTAAACTCCAGATTTATCATCATCATGTATGAGATCCTGGAAATGGTCTAAGTAAAGCTCTTGACTCCAGATTCTTAATTATCATTAAGATGATTTTGGTCCTGGTCTAAGTAAAGGTCCAGACTGGGACTGATTCTAGTCTAATCTAAAGGAGATGTCTGGACATGAAGGAGGAGCACACAGCTCTCTGTTTGTCTCTCAGCTGCTTGTCTCAGAGCTGAAAGTCGATCTGCAGAGTTTCAGCAGCTCAAAGGAATCTCCATTTGTTCCTCCTCACAGGGGGGAGGAAGAGCAGGAGGGGAGGGGGGGCTAATCTGCTCCAGATTCAAGTTTAGAGCTGCAGCTGCACCAACACAGAAACAACCAGGAAAGATAGCTGACCTGAAAACATATCCTGAACCACAGGAGGAGGAACAGGAGCAGAGGAGGAGGAGGAGGAGGAGAAGGAGAAGGAGGAGGAGGAAGACAAGGAGGAGGAAGAGGAAGAGGAGGAGTAAGAGTAAGAGGAAGAGGAGGAGCAGGAGGAGGAGGAGGTGAAGTCTGTATGGAGTCAGACAGATCTGAGATCAGATTTCTGTCAAATATGAAGCAGCTGCTGAAACATAAAGAAACATGGCCGACGCCTTCTCACACTGACTTTAAATAATGTTTTATACAAATTTTAAAAATAATGAGGATCAGCTGACTCATCTGACTCTGAACATTTCAAGGCATTGAAAAGTGAATGTGAAAAGTTTCCAGGACCTCCAGACTTCACACTAACTTGTCTTCAAAGCTTCTCACCGCCACGCTGCATGACCCGTTAAAAGTTACACCTGAACGCAGCACAGAGACGACAGCTGAAAGTTAGTGTTTGTGTCCCACACAGAAATACACACCATCACACACACACACACACATGCTGCAGACGTTACAGTCTGTTTACCTGCTGCAGACGTTACAGTCTGTTTACCTGCTGCGGACGTTACAGTCTGTTTACCTGCTGCGGACGTTACAGTCTGTTTACCTGCTGCGGACGTTACAGTCTGTTTACCTGCTGCGGACGTTACAGTCTGTTTACCTGCTGCGGACGTTACAGTCTGTTTACCTGCTGCGGACGTTACAGCCTGTTTACCTGCTGCGGACGTTACAGTCTGTTTACCTGCTGCGGACGTTACAGTCTGTTTACCTGCTGCAGACGTTAAAGCCTGTTTACCTGCTGCAGACGTTACAGCCTGTTTACCTGCTGCAGACGTTACAGCCTGTTTACCTGCTGCGGACGTTACAGCCTGTTTACCTGCTGCGGACGTTACAGTCTGTTTACCTGCTGCGGACGTTACAGTCTGTTTACCTGCTGCAGACGTTACAGCCTGTTTACCTGCTGCAGACGTTACAGCCTGTTTACCTGCTGCGGACGTTACAGTCTGTTTACCTGCTGCGGACGTTATAGCTTGATATATTTTTAATGAATAAACTCTGTACACAGACAAAAATAAGCCAACAGCAAACCTCCTGTCTGTCTGTCTGTCTGCCTATCTGTCTGTCTGCCTGTCTGTCTGCGTGTCTGTCTGTCCTCCTGTCTGTCTGTCTGCGTGTCTGTCTGTCTGTCCTCCTGTCTGTCCTCCTGCCTGCCTGTCTGCCTACCTGTCTGTCTGTCTGTCTGTCTCTGTCTGCCTGCCTGTCTGTCCTCCTGTCTGTCTGCCTGCCTGCCTGCCTGCCTGCCTGTCTGTCCTCCTGTCTGTCTGCCTGCCTGCCTGTCCTCCTGTCTGTCTCTGCCTGTCTGCCTGCCTGTCTGCCTGCCTGCGTCTCTCTCTCTCTGATTGCCTGCTGACTCTCTGAACAAACCGACCGGAGAGAGTTCATTAACTGAGAGCTGCTTCAGGCCACAACACGCCTCTTTAATTAGACACACACACACACTCAGACGCACACACAGGCACACACACACCTGGTATCATTGAATCTCCCAGCATCCTCTCTGAGCCGCGGGGGGCTTAGGGATAAGACTCGAAGAGTCAATTCTGGTCAAACATAAACCTCCCCCACACACACACACACACACACACACACACACACACACACACACACACACACACACACACACACACACACACACACACACACACACACACACACACACACACACACACACACACACACACACACACACACACACACACACACACACACACACACACACACACACACACGACATCATTGCTTTATGACATCAGGATGTTTATTCTCTCACCTTAAAGAGACAAATAAACTGTAATTGGTTTAAATTCCGCTTAAGAGACGAGCAAATGGTGAACTCACGAGTTTAGAAATAACATATAGAAAGAACATAGAAACACAGTCAGCTGACCTGCTCTGCGGAGCCAGGCTTCTGCCTGTTCATCATGAGTCTGGTTCTGTTCCGGGTTTCTGCCTGTTCAACATGAGTCTGGTTCTGATCTAGGTTTCTGTCTGTTCAACATGAGTCTGGTTCTGATCTAGGCTTCTGCCTGTTCATCATGAGTCTGGTTCTGTTCCGGGTTTCTGCCTGTTCAACATGAGTCTGGTTCTGATCTAGGTTTCTGTCTGTTCATCATGAGTCTGGTTCTGTTCCAGGTTTCTGCCTGTTCAACATGAGTCTGGTTCTGTTCCAGGTTTCTGTCTCTTAAAAAAAGTTTCTCTCCACTGTGACTTTGCTAAATGCTGTGCTCACGGTGGATTAATGTTGGGTCTTTGTAAAGAGTCGCTTTAGACCTGCTCCGTTTGTAAAGTGTATGCAGATCCATTGATTTCAGACTACACACACACACACACACACACACACACACACACACACACACACACACACTCTCTCTCTCTCTGTCTCCCTCTCTCTGTATCATGTTTCTATTAACACAGGCTGACCCCGCCTTCAACCCCGACCTCTGACCTCACCTGAGTCTTTCAGGCCCAGACTGAGGTTGGAGGTCACAGGTCATGAGGCAGACAGATCATGACGTACCAGCTGTTTCCGGAGCAGAAGGATGTTCTCCTCCAGGAGCTTCTCCTCAGAGCTCAGCTGAGCCTCCCTCCGCCGCTCCTCCTCCTCCTCCTCCTCCTCCTCCTCCTCCTGCTCCAGTTCCTCCCGGAGCTCCAGCGCCGCTCGGACCAGCTCCTCCTGCCGTTGCCTCAGCAGCTCCAGCTCCCCCAGCCCGGACACGGTGGCCTCCAGCCGCTCCCGCACCGCGCGCAGCCGCTCTGACGCGTCGGCGTCCCGCCGCGCGGTTCCAGACTGTAGCATCTCGGGGTCTGACAGAATCAGGGTCCGGGTCTGCGGGGTCCAGACAGCATGGTGCGGGGCCGGATCAGCTGCCACGGTGAACTTAACCCGGGACAAACTCACCGGGTTAAACAAAGCGGGTTAAAGGTCCTCAGTCCGCTCCCTGCAGCTCCGAGCAGCAACCGGTGGTCCCACGGTCCTCCTTTACACAGGACAATCCGGTAAACAATCCGTTAAACGGTTCCTGGGTCCGCTCAGGCACGTCTCCAGGTGACTCCCAGCATGCCCCGGGGCCGCGGCAATGAGCGGGGCCGTCAGAGAGACACGCAGACTCGGCCTGAGCTCCGTCCTGCTGCCGCTGCTCCCCAAGCTCTGCAGGGACTGACCATCAGCATAAGCACATGCCCCGCCCCCTCCACGCTGCAAGAACAACGAGCTGAGTTACGTCACCAACAATGATCATATGCCTTTCCTGTAAGCACCTTCGAAATAAAATAGACACATTTAAAAATCAAAGCATTCATTTTTTAAGAGACAAAAATAAAAAATAAAAACTTCACTGGTTCATATTTTTGATTTGTTTGTTTTTACAGGTACATTGAACAGCCAATCAGCAGGTAATATTGCATAACACACCTGTTACCTGCTGACAACGTCTCTGTTAAGTACTGTTAAATACTTCTACTACAAAAGAGATCTGCTCAGTGATCCGCTCAGTGATCCTCTCAGTGATCCGCTCAGTGATCCTCTCAGTGATCCTCTCAGAGGTCCTCTCAGAGGTCCTCTCAGTGATCCTCTCAGAGGTCCTCTCAGTGATTTGCTCAGAGATCCTCTCCTCTTATATCCTGATGTATCATTCACGTCATTATCATCATCATCATTATCATCATCATCATTATCATCATCGTCGATTGATTCTACAGATAAGTCAATTCATGTTTCTTATGAATTAGAAACTCTATGACGTCATTAAGTGTGATTTAATGTTAGCGACAACATCAAAGAACAAAAGGTTATAAACAGGTAACAGGTGTTATACAGTGTTACCTACAGCAGATAACAGGTCTGTTATACAGTGTTACCTACAGCAGGTAACAAGTCTGTTATACAGTGTTACCTACAGCAGGTAACAAGTCTGTTATACAGTGTTACCTACAGCAGGTAACAAGTCTGTTATACAGTGTTACCTACAGCAGGTAACAGGTGTTATACAGTGTTACCTACAGCAGGTAACAGGTGTTACACAGTGTTACCTACAGCAGGTATCAGACATCCTGATTTCTTCTTCTGTACTTTGTTCTAGACCTTTGTTGTTTTAGGTTTCTTTCACATTCATCTGTACTTTTGTTGTCTTTATTTTGAAGGGCAGATTCAAAGTGTTTCCTGTGTGGCGGTGTTTAATGATGTGCTATTGACCCCCCCCCCGCCCCTCCGTCGCTCAGCCCCGCCCTCTCCTCCGGTCAGGCTGCCCTCAGGTCCTAAAGTCCTAAACGATCTGATGTAATGAGACAAATAGCTGAGATTATTAAAAAAAACACGTTAGAGTTTATATGAAAATATTTATAAGAATCTTTATGTTCTATTATTAATCTTTATATTCTGATACTTATGATTATATTAATCATGATATTCGGATGTAAAGTGATGAGTGGTCTGTAGCAGCATCTCTCTTGTTTTTAATCACATGACTGAGATCTGACTCTGTTAAGGAACTCCTTAAAGGAAGAATGACCGACATGTTCCACATAAATATATCATGAATAAAGTCTATTCTGTGTAAAAGTGTCTCTGAGTCATGACTGTCTACAATGAGTCAGAACCTCGAGTCCTGCTGGCTGTGTTGTTGTCAGAGACGTGTTTACATGGACGGGACGGCCGGCTCCTCCCCTTGTGTATAAAAGCTGTTTTAGTGAAGGACTAGAGAAAAGAAGAACATACACACTGATTATTTTGATGCTAGTAAGTGTCTTTAGATCACGCTCATTCTGTGTCAGTTTACATGCAATGTGAAGCTACGAGCTAACTAAAGACCGCTAACATTAGCATGCTAACACAACAATGCAGGACATTGCATTGTATCTGGAGGAGGGTGGAGGCTTCAGTATGGAAGAGGTGTGGCCAAACAGCAGTTTGTTTTGGTTTCATGCTGGAGCTTAAGGGCGCCATCTACTGGATCAAAAAGTTGCACTTCCTGAAAACTTCATGTTTGATTGTTTTTCTCTTTTTTATAAGTGAATGTTGAAACTGTCCTTCAGGATGAATCAATAAAGTTTGATGTAAAAACACTCTTTGTGGGGCGCTGGTGGCGCAGTGGTTAGTGTGCACGCCCCATGTATGGAGACTGTGGTCTTCCAGGCAGGCGGCCCAAGTTCGAAACCGGCCTGTGGCTCCTTTCCCGCGTGTCATTCCCCTCTCTCTCTGTCCCTGGTTTCCAACTCTGTCCACTGTCCTATCTCTCAATTAACGGCACAAAAAGCCCAAAAATAAATCTTTAAAAAAAACACTCTTTGTTCATGAAGTGATTTTAAAGAAATCAAAAAAGTTCCCTTTTGACAACATTAGAATGAACAATGTATTTCATAAATAAAGTTTGATCAACATGTCTTCATTAACGATTCAAAGTATGAATGAATGTCTGAGCGTTTGTTTACAATAGAAATAAAAACATGTGAGTGTTTTTTTAATCCCTCTAATCTTTATTGTTCTGAGCTCATTAACATCGTGTTCAGTTTGAGGGTCACAAACTGTCAGAGTCATGACTCTGTTAGCGAGGTCATGCTGAGGCCCAGGAGTATGTTAATGAGGGGGAGGGGCTTAACATGACATCAATTGATATGTTAATGAAGGCGCTGAGCGTGGGGGGCAGGGCCTAACCCAAGACTCATTATTAGGTTAATGGATGGCGGGGTTTAGGGTTAGGCTCATCCTCTATCTCAGTCTCTTTTCATTCACAGCCTTTATTTCAGTCAACAGTTTACTATCAAGTTTAATAAGAAGACATTTAGAGGGTTTTATAAAGCGCTTTATAGACACTCAAAGACGCTTATATATAATATCATATATATGCTGATATATCAGTGAGGTATAGATGATATAGTGTGTGTGTGTGTTAGTGTAGATGTGTGTGTGTGTGTGTGTGTGTGTTAGTGTGGCTGTGTGTGTGTGTTAGTGTAGATGTGTGTGTGTGTTAGTGTAGATGTGTGTGTGTGTGTGTTAGTGTAGATGTGTGTGTGTGTGTTAGTGTAGATGTGTGTGTGTGTTAGTGTAGATGTGTGTGTGTGTGTGTAGATGTGTGTGTGTGTGTTAGTGTGGATGTGTGTGTAGATGTGTGTGTGTGTGTTAGTGTGGATGTGTTAGTGTAGATGTGTGTGTTAGTGTAGATGTGTGTGTGTTAGTGTAGATGTGTGTGTGTTAGTGTAGATGTGTGTGTGTGTGTTAGTGTAGATGTGTGTGTGTGTGTTAGTGTAGATGTGTGTGTGTTAGTGTAGATGTCTGTGTGTTAGTGTAGATGTGTTAGTGTAGATGTGTGTGTGTTAGTGTAGATGTGTGTGTTAGTGTAGATGTGTGTTTGTTAGTGTGGATGTGTTTGTTAGTGTGGATGTGTGTGTGTTAGTGTAGATGTGTGTGTGTTAGTGTAGATGTGTGTGTGTTAGTGTAGATGTGTGTGTGTGTGTTAGTGTAGATGTGTGTGTGTGTGTTAGTGTAGATGTGTGTGTGTTAGTGTAGATGTCTGTGTGTTAGTGTAGATGTGTTAGTGTAGATGTGTGTGTGTTAGTGTAGATGTGTGTGTTAGTGTAGATGTGTGTTTGTTAGTGTGGATGTGTTTGTTAGTGTAGATGTGTGTGTGTTAGTGTAGATGTGTGTGTTTGCTGACAGACTCTCTCTAATCCCACTTCCTGCTTATCTAAACAGTGTGTTTTTCTGCTTCACAGACTTCAGTGTGCACTAATATCAGCTGTCTGCTCTAATCTCCCTGTGTGTGTGTGTGTTAGTGTGGCTGTGTGTTTGTTAGTGTAAATGTGTGTGTTAGTGTGGCTGTGTGTGTTAGTGTAGATGTGTGTGTGTAACTTTGTTGTTCCCAAAGTAGAGTCTTGCAGGCTCTGACTTCCTGACTTTGTTTTGTGTTAAAGAGTCGATGAATGAAGTGATGAAGAAACAGCTTCTCTCTGAACACGTTGGAGCTTTAATCCTCCTCTCTCTCTCAGACTATCACTTCACAAACCTCCTTTCTATTTAACACTCAATAATACCATCTGTTTCATTTCATAACACGCTCAGTTTATTAAGAACAGGTCAATAACCCACATGCACGCAGTCATGGAAAAATAGATGTGAATTTGATATCCAAACAAAAGATAAATGTCCTTGTGATTATCAGACCCCGTGTGACATCATCAGACAACTGTGACATCATAAGACTCCATGTGACATCATCAGCCACCGTGTGACATCATCAATCAGCTGAAAACAAAGATGGTGGTCGATGTTTTGTGTCTTTTTTCTTTCTAGAAAATGTCGCTGACAGAGGAGTCCGTGTCTCCGGCTGCACTCAGAGACTCCTTCTCCACCACCGTCTCCTCCTCCTGATGCTCCTCCTGCACTGCGATGGAGGGCAGGTGAACATCCCTCTTCCTGGCTCCTCCTACAAACAAACAGAAGGCTCTCAGTGACACACTGACTGCACAGAGAAACCATCTGAAGAACACATCCTCCTCCTCTTTTTCACACAACAAGCAGACGACATGATGATCCCCTGTGAGGCTCATGGAGAGGGGGATTATGGGTAAGTGTAGTTCAAAGAGGCACTAACCTTCCCACCTGCTCAGTACATACAGGTGTGAAGTATCACAGTAATGTAACCCACAACTTCCACCAGATCTACATAGCATCTCCGCAATCAATCTTTTACTCCCTCTAGGGGTCAGTGTGTGTGTCTGTCTGTGTGAGTCTGTGTTTCTGTGTGTGTGTGTGTGTGTGTGTGTGTGTGTGTGTGTGTGTGTGTGTGTGTGTGTGTTACTGAGTGTGTGTGTTTCTGAGTGTGTGTGTGTGTGTGTGTGTGTGTGTGTGTGTGTAAAGTTGAAGGTCTGTCAGTCTCTGTCTCTTTAATCAGAATGAGCTCAGTAACCGTGACAACGTGCTTGCGGGTGGATGTGCTATCAGTGTTTCCATGGAGACACAGAGAGAGCAGCAGTTATTAGATGTGATGAAATGATGTTCTCTAATCAAACCGGAGAAATCTTTGACGTGTGTAAACGATTCTTTATCGATCCGAGGACAGAGACTACGTCAGGATTTAAACACAGACAGATGTTCCCAAATAAACACGCCTCTGACTCTTTAAATGAATCTTTATAATGACTCCAAATG